GGGGTAGGTAGGGGGTAGGAGAGGACGACGTTGAAGGAGCTGGAAAGTAGTCGAAGAGTTGGGAAAGAGGGTAGAGGACCTAGACGGGATGACCTCTCGTTTGTGGGCGGGGATCTTGTCTTCTTTGTCACTGCGTTCATACGTAACAAACTGGGATAAGCGTCCCGCGGGACTCGGACACGGCCGTCATCGGGACTTTTTTTCGTGGGAAATAAATTCGCGTCAAGACAAATAAGCTTGGTTGACGCTGCTCTCCCACTTTCACTCCCGTGGGAGAGAAACGCTCACTATCGCACCATCTCTTCTTTCCTTTTGTTTCAGTTCCGCAACCCTCTCTCGCAGCCCCAGCATCCCTCGAACCACAGTAGCATCACCATCAGCATCCGAACGGCTAACCGCCACCATCGTTTCTCTTTTTCCCTCTACTCCTCTCCCACCTCTCTCTCTCTCTCTCTCTCTCTCTCTCTCTCTCTCTCTCTCTCTCTCTCTATCCTCTGCTCCTACAGATTTTCCTAGCCCTTCTACGACTAACTCAGCAATTCAGTCTGCGAGTTTTTCACCGATTTTTTGCATCTTCGCCGTATAGGTCCCTCTTCCATCCCCCTTGCCAATATTTGCTCCTATCTTTTGGCTTATTGGAGCAGAGAAGCCCGCCTTGGTATTGGCTCTGGAGCAGACTCCGAGAACCATGGAATCGAAGAACTGAGGAATCGTGGAATCGAGGAACCGGCACTAAGCTAAGTTAGTCTGATTTGTGCAAACTCCGCTGGCACTCGGCTCCTCTCTCTCTCTCTCTCTCTCTCTCTCTTTCTCCTTCGCTTCCTCCATCCTCCTCTTCCATCAAGTACTCCTCCCCCATTGCCTTCTGCGGCTCCGCAGCCGGATTTCAAATTCATCGACTTACGGTTAATTACGATATTGCTACCAAGACGTTGATCGCCCAATCTCGTCCACTTTGGCCATCTCGATCAGCTCACTCACCTCGATTCCCAGTCAACTTCTCTTCCTTCCGCATTATAAAATCGAGAAATCACGTAAGAGCCTTGCGAAACAGTCAGGAAAGAAGTCGTCGAGTCCCGAAGAGTTTCTCGTTGGCCTCCTCCCGAGCTCACGCTCCCCCAGAGAGGACGATAAGGACTCCCCTGTGACTCTCAGGACGAGGGGCTGAGCGCAGGTAAAGGGTGTCCCGAAGGCGACTGCTATGGGGAAAGGTTGCCAGTCGGAATTAGCTGATAGGATCTGCGAGTGACTTTTACGTGACAATGTAATCAAAGTTTGAGTCGCACAGAGAGTTGGTGCTGAGATGATTTAAGTTTTTATGCGATTGACTTCCATCTCGTGCGAGGGATTAGGGATTACGAGGTTGAGAGCCGCTGCATAGTTAAATCTTTAGCAGGAGGGAGAAGGGGGCGGGGAGCGACGGCGGAGCTTGGGCACGGGGAGGAAACGGTCGCCATTTCCTGGTGACGCGAAGACGCTTCCCACCTCTGCCTCGAACGAGGTCGACGCCGACGCCACAGTTTCTTGCCTATTCCCCAGCATCCTCCTATCTTCCTATCCTAACAGAGAGGGATGCTCGGTCCATTTCGTGAAATATTTTGGGACGACGGGCTCCGTAGTATAAAAATTCACGAGAACCATCCGAATCGATATTACCCTAGCTACATTTTTACAACGAAAAAGGAGAAATTCTATTCCGTAACAGAGTCGATTTCATAGGCACGTATCACGGATGTACATATACGTTGTAGCTGTCAGCCAAAATTTAAAGGTGTCGTATTGTCAATAGGAATTGTTAACCCAAATTAACCTCTTCCCCTCTACCCACTACTTTTCCCTTCTTCTCTCTCTCTCTCTCTCATTGATACGAGAAGCAAGACATTCAAGTCATTTGCCAACAACGAGGGTCGGGAAGAACCTTTGAGCACTTAGGTTGAAAACTAATGAAAGAAACTTTATCCGATCGCGCTCGGCTGTTACGGGGAATCCGATTGCCGGTACAAGGGTCGAATATCGATGCTGGGGTCGCATGATTCTGCCCCCTCGTTCCCCTCGTTCCCTGCAGTCTGCCGCCCCAAACCACCCTGGTCTCCGCCTCTCGAGAAGGTCACGCGAACGGAATTCAAACGTAACGAGTGGCTCTCGTTACGCGAGTAGCGTCCCTCCTGCCGCAGCGTCTGCGGTTGTTTATTGTGACCGGGGAAAAGTTTTTCGACGCGACGAGTGCGCGGAGACAGGGGAATGGAGTCGCACGTGGTAAAATTTGGTCAGAGCTTTTCGCGGGTAGAGAGGAGCTCAGTGAGGCAGGAAGTCATGGAGTCCGAGGGGGTGCGGGGTGGTGGCGGG